TATGATATGAAAATAATTCTGGGGGATTTTAATGTTTGGACAAGTGTAAATTAATTTGGCGTGGAAAATTAGGAAATGAACTCTCATCAGGATCCAAATGCATTTCAACCACTCGAACGCGACAAGTCGTAAACTCTCAGGAGTTATTCTCTCTCCATGGGAAACCAAAAGCTGCATTAATTTGTAGTTTGCCCAGGCACTTCCTTCTCAGAATGCCGATCTACAAATTCATGTTATTATATTCGAGGTAAATTAAACGAAAATATTAAATTCCTCTGGACACGTACGCAGGGGGGCGTGGATGATGTGCTTTCATTTCACGAATTGGAATCGTGAGGCGAAAGCTGCGGGAGACTGTTTCTCAGTTTCTCGGAACAGATATGGTCACGAGGGAAATTCGATGTTGTGTGATCAGAACAAAGTCCCGGGATTGTTCTAGGCGTAGGATCGTGGCACCTCCATATATTTTCCAATTTGAAGTAGCTCTACCCTTCCGAGAAATTAATTGATCCTAAAAAATGCCAAAACATTTTTTTTTCATTCAATTAGTATGTGAATTAAAAAATCAGGATTTAATCAATTGAAAATTATTATTTTCGTTAGAATTAGATAAGAAATATCAGACATCTGCTGAGTAAAATATCTTTTCTCATCTCTTCAAATCTCTTTTTCAGTTGAAATATCTTTTCTCATATTTTGAATATAGAATATCAGCTGTAATTTGAACAAAAAAAATAATCCTCCGAATACGACTCAAGCTTGGAAATTAATAAGATATTTCTCTCTCGGTTCTTTGCACAAAAACGAGCTTGTCAAGTTCTCCAGAACTTTTTTAACCTGGAAAATTTAACATGTTTATTTGTTTGCGACGAACCTATCGGAAAACATCCGATAATTTCGACACTCTCGTCGTTTTATAAGTGAATAAACGTTTAATAAGACATCCATTTTTTGGAAAATTTGTGGATAAGAATAATTCCTGAAATGTTAAGAACTGATTCCGGGATCATTCCATAATTCCATCCCATCTCCATAATTTGCACTGAATCTCAAAATAGGATATTCGTAGATTTTCTCTGTAGAACTTCCGCAATATCGGAGAATAAAAGTTCCTCAAGTACATTTGTTAAGTCTCGGGAAATACCGCAGCAACATTTTCTATATTTTGAGTTGAACTTTCCCCGTCAACGGAGAATCTCCAGATGGTTACGACACTTGTCCTGGAAAATAGTTGAAACCGCATGGAAAATCCAGATGATAGAATTGAAAACTTAGGGAGCCCGTCTCCAGTATAATGTGGAGTGTAATATCATACCTCCTGGGGAATTACTTCCGGTGAAACTTTTAGGACAGTCAGAATTATTTACGTCGAAATGTTGAATTGGCCGAGGGCTTGTGTCCATCAATATTCAACACCTCCTTCGTCAGAGCTGCCCGGACTCCATTACCTCTGGAATAACAAAATTCAAATGAAAAAAGACAGCAATTTTCCATTTGAATTGGAATAGATGATACATAAATCAATAGTTTATTATCATTAGTTGCGATATTTATAATTCAAGAGGGGCTACTCACTCCGGAAATCAATGAAAATGAATTTGACCCACTACCATCCATAAATCATGCGGGTGAATTGAGCCACGATTTAGCGTTGATTCGGGAATCACCTACTCAATTCAAATTATACGACCCAAATCGACTGACCCACAACATTCACATTAACAAAAAAAAAACGCGATGTTGGATTTGCCTTAAATTTTTGAATTTGACGGAATGATGAATTCCACTTTCTTTTTGCACAATTAACACTTTAATCACGAATGGTTATGGGTTACATTGAGGGTCAACGCTTGAGTGAGAATGAGTCAAATGAATGAATAAATTGATTTGACCCATTCTGACTGAAAGTCAATCAAAGAGCCAAATGCCTGAATTAAGTTGATCCACTGAAATTGCGGAGTGATTAGCCGGAAATTCATGACGATTCCTTGACCTCCACCATTCCTTCTCCTGCGAAAACGCGCGTGTACGATATAATGGTGACCTAACGCAGGACACACGGACGAAGCATCATTTCAAGCAACACACCTACAACAGCCCCACCTTCTGTGACCACTGCGGTAGCCTTCTCTATGGTGTCATCCACCAGGGCATGAAGTGCCAAGGTACTCCTTAAAAGCCCAAAAGCAATGTTGCCAAATTTTTAATTGCTACGATACGTATGATTGATTACTGTGCCTCTCAAAATTCTCTGTCTTCCGATGTTTGCTTTTTTATGGATAATCAGTGATCTTTTTTATTGTAAATAATCTTAGTCTGATTTTTTTTGCTATCACTGCGGACCACGGCCATCCGACGGTCGTCGGTCGGTCCTGGTACTCGTCGTTGTGGCACAGTTGTGTGTTTCGTGTTGATTGGGCAAGCGAATTTATTGTTTTTGGTTGAAGTGTCTAATAAATTGACAGGGGACGAAAACAGTGGAGCTATACTGGACAGCTTACACCGAAAAAGTCCTCAAACGATTGATCGGTCTGATTGACGTCGACTTTTTCCACTTGATTCACCCCGAGTTCGTTTCTTCTTCTCTGTCTTTTTAGTTTGGAAATTTTTATTCTGCAATTAAATACTCGTACGAATATGTAAATATGTAAATATGTATATAAGAATATGAACTATTTTTCGTGAATGGACTCCCCTCGGTGTTTATTACTCTGCCATGAGTGGAAAAAAAATGCTAACACGAAATCCGGCGGGCGACGTAGGCGAATTTGGCCCTTGGGCTTTACATGTTCCATGTGCTCATCCAAATTGTTTTGAATTATGGAAATCTATTTCTGAAAGCGTGTGTATACCTCGCCGAGAGGGTTGCCAATGCAAACCAACGGATTGGATTGAAAAATTCATGAATCCATTCACGAAAAATCATCGGTACACGAATTATTGGGTTTTCCGTAAATGTAATATGAAAATCACCCTAAAATCACTGTTTATATTATTATCACAACTTTTATCTTCTTTTCCAATGTCCAATGTGTGGATGTGTGTGTGTCTGCTGTGCATCACACCAATATTTATTTTCATCTGAAGTTCTACTTAATCTGCTGATTCTTGCACCAGTGTGCGTGTTTCGTCTATTGCATCATCTTCTTCTGTTTGTCTTGTCTTGTCTTCACTATTTTACTACAAGACTGATGAATGAAATGCTTTCACCGGGTAATGAATTACGGTTTTTTGTTATTTTATATTTTCGTGTTCCCTGCATCCGACGTATTCATTGTTTCTGGGAGATATGGGGGGAGAAATATTTTAAATAGAACATCCTATTGTTCTCTGCTTAAGAAACATAAATTTCAGCTTTCACTGTAAATTCAGAGAAATTCCGTGTTGTTCCGCAGCATAAACTAGAGAATTCTGCCAATTCAGGGACTAATAGCTCTTACATTTGCTATTTCCATTGACAAAAAGCAAATTAATTCATATATAAATGTCTGTTTATTCTGAAAAGTTTAAAATATTCAATTTCTATGACTTTCGTTAGTTTTAGAGAATAAATCAACTGGAATTTACATTTCTTTATAAACACCTCTTTTGTGGCTCTCATTTTTTACTATGTAAAATATATTATATGACAATATATAGCGCCCTTCTTTCAATTTCAAGATATCAACTAAAAAGTTTGAACAATTATCTAAAAAAAAATACAATAATAGTGACTATATACGCATTATCACTTTACCATTGAATTTAAACATCACTTTTTGAGTTTCCAGTAAACATTTTGGGATAGAAGAAAAGTAAAAGTGTTGAACCGTGCAAATACTGAATAATTTTGTTATCACTATTAAAATAAAAATATAAATTATAAAGTGGTGAGCATAACAGTAACAAGTGCTTGAATGCTTGACACTCGCAGAACCGGGTTGAGGCCTATTAATTTGCCAATAGCCAACAATTGTAATTTGAGGAAAAATGCACGGTGAATAAACGAGGGCATATCCATCTGCCGCAGAATTGCACAAAAGTGAAAAGTGGATGAGGACTGGTACTCGATGAGATGTGGGCAACAACGAGATTGTTCGATATATCGAGGTCGAACGAGAAATTACCATGTGAAATGCTCTCGGGTGCTAAATTAGAATTCGATTGAAGATTCCGGTTTGACGGAAATCCATTACAGCCGTCACACGACCTCGATTATTAAACCATTACGTCGGTCCAGGTGGCACCCCACCGAAAATTTTCCAACATCCTCTCCATGAACTCTTATCTGCTATTTTATGGAGGCCCTTCACTCCGATGGGCACGACTTGCCTCAGCCCCTTTTCAACTTTCCTAACGAATATCGATAATCATTTCTATCGCCCACTTAACTCGTCGGCCCTCCAATGTGTCTCTTCTTCATCGACGTTAAAGTGAACAGCCATTTCTCTTTTCAAACCTAATTTCAAATTTTTTTTTTCAACTCAAAGAACTTGAAATTTTTCATGTTAACAAAGTGAAGTTAAATTTGTGGATATAAGTGGTACACTGAGGTAAGTACATTTTTTCCGAGACCAGTTTTCTGCGAATATCCCGGAAGTGAAGGGAGATAACGATATTTTTGGTTCTACATTTTTTGTAGAGAAAGGTTAGCCCAACAAAAAAGGTAGTGATGAAAATATTAATATTCTCCTTCAAATCCGAGATATTTAGGAAAAATTAATCTCAGGAAAATGTGCACTTAACCTAGTTTATACTACTTCGCTACTAAATCCATGAATCAATTAATTCCGAACCGAATAATTTAAAGAATTCTTTAATTTTATGTTCTATTGAAAATTCATATCTTTCTCGGCATAAAATCTTGACTCATTCAATATTAAAGTCTTTGATTCATTATTCAAAATTTCCAGTATTTGCCGTCATTTTCTGGTCTTGCGACACGAAAAAACGATCTCTTTTGCCAGGAAACCTCACAGTTTCCTAAAATGATCATGTTCGAGTCATGAACCTGAAGATAGTCGGACGCTATCTGAAGAAATAAATGATTCTCGTTAATGAAATCAATTTATTCTAGTTGCGATAATTTTTCCAATACAGCTCTCCGTGCATTTACGAAATTTTATCAGGAGTTTTTCGGGTTTTCTCTGCATTTAGAACTCCATTTCTCTAATTCTCAAAGTGATATAATTGACTGACGATACTGCATTCAAATTCCATTAACGTCTTTTACAGTTGGACTTGGTTAACTTCGTTAACGATTATTCAATACGCGTGGAAGAGAAATGTAATTCCGAAAAACCCGATATTTTCGGAGAAATGTCATTGTTCCTTGGGGATGCGATATCGACACGAAACGAGGAAAAACGTCGTTTTACCGCTGTTTCCATTTCCCAGTCGGGGAAAACTCGAACAATTTTAGCATTGTTCTCATTCCTTCCCATTGTTCACCCAGAAAATATATTTGCGATGCTGAATAGGGGAAAATGGACGAAATATTTACCGCCTGCTATTGAATGCTTCTCAGATTCAATATTCCCCATTTTCTTTTTCCCATTTTCCCCGAACATCACGATGGAGTTTCCTGCTGACATTAAATTTCTACCTTTCAAATAATGTGAACATCATTCGGATGCACGGAGAGAATAGTTGGAAAAAATAGCCTAAAATAATATAAAAACTAAAACAATTAGTTGCAAAAATATCAATCTTTTGCATATTAGTTATATTAGGAATAAATAATCGTCAAACTAATTATCATTGTTAATTATTTTTTATGAATAGAAACTGTGGAAAAATAGTGTACATTAACGGAAATGTAAAAGTGGATTTGTCTCGGCGTCTTTTTTTTTACAATTGGGAAATTGCCGACCTGGATCAATGATCAATCGACATGAAGTCATGAAGTCATGAACTTTGAAATAACCGCTTAACCGTTCTAATAATTCCTTCACGTTCCGTCATTCGGGGCTAATGTCAGAAGGTATTCTCCACCATTGTGATGTTGGTGAGGAGAACAATGGCCTGCAGTGGAATGACGGCCGAGGGAATGAGGGTTGGACGTTTATGAGTTGCTCAAGGGTGGTTCTTCCACTTTATCGCAAGAAGAATTCGCTAAAAGAAGAGGGTAGAAAGAACTTTAACGGGACATTGCAGTTGATGACGCAGGGCTTGAAAAATTGAGTCAGCGAGATATACGCAGAATCCAATAATCTGATTAACATTAAATCAGTGATTCCCCAAGTTAACAGTTAATAAAAGAATTCATTGGCCTTTTTCATTTATTGAATTATTCCAGAAATCCGATATGAATACATGAAAGGCACCATCATTTCTTTATTCAGTCATCATTAATCGCTCATTGTTGTTTATTTAGTTTACAAATAATAATTTTTGAAAACGGCTTTTTCGTGAATAACTCTTGATTTTGTTATTTTATAAGAAAAGAGTTGTTTTTATAAAAGATTTCTATAGAATTGTATGAAAATTTACGATAAATAATATGTTTATCATTATTATTATTTTAATGCACCAAATCATCATCTTTTCGTATTTATCTAAAACAACTTCTAAAAAAACTTGAAAAAAAATGAAGTGTGAGACAAATTGAGATCTGTTGTCTAGTAGTGGAACTTGGATTAGAAAAAATAATTGACGATGCATTGGAGGAGAAAATCAGTGTATTCCGGCTCGAGTTACGACAAAGTGCAAGCGAACGCTGCAATGAATGTAAACAAGCAGCTGGAAAAAGAGGTTATGCCGGACTGATGGTAAACATTGTGATACGTGTGGAGAAGACCATCATATTACCAGGGGAGGAGATAAAGAGGAATGGCTGTCGTACTGGTGCACACATTGGTACTCCTTGCAATATAGAGTTTCAAACAAAAGTGGAACGCGTCAAGTGCTTCTCCCCGGCCCCAGCGCCACCTACGAATCACCGGGACTTCCCCTCGTTATATCATATCGCTAAACTTGTGTTCGAGATACCACCTGAAATCAGATCAAACGGACAACTCCGGGGCTCAAGAGAACCGTTCAAACTTGGAGCGTTCAATGACACCAATATTATTGAAGCCATCCACACAAAATTAGCCTGCAATTCCAAATGAAATAATGAATTTATTTTTCATATATAGCACTTTCCGTTACGCACGAATTTTGAAAATTATCTAAGGGATTCTGA